TTGCCTTTTATTGTTGGCTGATAAGAAGTTCCTCATATATTCTGGATAGAAGTCCCTTATCAGACATAGAATTTGCAAAGAGTTTCTTCCATTCTGTGGGTTGTCTTTTCACATTTTTGATAGTATCTTTTGCAGCACAAAAGGCTTTAATTTTGATGTAGTTCAGTGTATCTATTTTTTTCTTTTCTCACATGCTTTTGGTGTCATGCCTAAGAAATAATTGCCTAATTGAAGGTCATGAAGATTTATTCCTATGTCTTCTCTAAGAGTTTTATAGTTTTAGCTCTTATATTCCAGTCTTTGATTCATTCTGAGTTAATTCTTTTGGATATGGTTTAAGGAAAAAATCCAACATCTGCCTGTCATTTTTTTTTTTAAGTATATAGATATTCATCATCTCCATACCATTTGTTAAAAAGACTGTTCTTTCCTTCCTTAAATTACTCGGCATCCTTGTTGAAAATCAACTGGCCATAAATGTAAGGGTTTGTTTCTACACTCTCAATGCTATTATGTTGATTTATATCTACTTTTATGCCAGTATCACAATGTCTTGTTTACTATAGCTATATAGTAAGTTTTGAAATTAGGAAATAATAAGTCCTCAACTTTGTTTTTCCTCTTCAAAACTGTTTTGGCTATTCAAGTCCCTCGAATTTTCATATAAATTTTATGATCTCCAAAGTTTTACTTTTAAAACATATTAGTTACTCATTTTCTATGGATTATAATTACACCAGCTATCTCAAGCTACTACTAGGGATGCTTAAAAAAAAGGCTCACTAAGGTCATCCCTTAAACTTTAGTAGCTTAAGCAAGATGAAAAATGGCCATAACTGAGGTGGAAGAAAAGTAGCAGTTTAGGGTAGAGGAGTCTAGTGGTATTTCAGTTTGAAGTTCAAGAAGCTAGTATAAGCCCTGGTAGGGTTGGACATTAAGATAGGATTCATGGAGAGTTAAGAATCAGTAATCAAATCAATAGATAAATATAAAAGTAAGGTAGAAGAAGATGACAAAGGAAATAGTAATGATTAGTGAATATAGATTTCAAATTGCAATAGTTCCCTTCTTTTTTTTTTTTAAAACTTATTTTTACAAATCACATACTTTACTACTTAATATTAAGTTTAGCTGTTTTAATGGGAAATTATGGTTTTGCAACTACAGATTAAAAATTCATGGTTGTAGTCTAAATCTCAAGCATGGTACATTCCTTTAGTTTAAACCATATGACTGAATCACCAGTTTATCTATTATTCCAAACTATAGGAAAAGTATCCAAGAGAGAAAAGAAATAACTTAAGTGATGAAACTTCAAACATGAATTTATAGGAGGGATGACAACTATGCCAATCCTATCCATGATTAGCTCTTAAGTATTCATAAGTCACATTAAAACCTTCACCTTCAAAAATGGTAGCTTAAAGCAATTTAATGTTTAAACTTTTTGAAGAGTATAGCAATGTAGATTATTCAAGAAACTAAGCTTAAATTTTTTAGCTTTTTTGTTGCTCTGGCTCTTTTGAATGGAAGATTTTACCCCAAAGTCATACCAATTTATATATTTATGTGTAATTTATATGTTATATATAATTTAGATCCATATATATCCATTTATTTGAGCGCTCACACTTATGACTGAAATAAACTTGGCACTCAACAGACATTTAGTGCCTGAGCAAAATCCAATCACATCTAGAAAACAACAAAGGTTGTTAACAGATATAGCAGGTATTCTCAACCTGTTTGGTTTTTGGTATCTGACACTGACTTAGAATCAGCATATGGCTCTAACAGTAAAGGAAAGACAGCAGACATTAATATTTCTTTACGTGTAAATTTCTACAAAATATTATATTTAAATTAGAATATTTCTTAAACTCAGCACAATAAGTGATGGTTGAGGTAGAAGAAGTTGACCTGTAAAACCAAAAATTAAAACAGAAAATACAAAGAAATGCTTCTTTCAAATATCAGAAGGCTCCTGTACATAGTCCACAATGTAAAATTAGGGGCTAATTTCTTCCTTTCTTCCTCCCTTCCTTCCGTCCTTCTCTCCCCCCTGCTCCCCCTCCTTCTTCTAGAGACAGGATTTTGCTCTGTTCCTCTGGCTGGAATGCAATGGCACAATCATAGCTCACTGCAGCCTCGAACTCCTGAGCTCAAGCAATCCTCCTGCCTCAGCATCCCAAGTAGCTGAGACTCCAGGCATGCACCACCATGCCTGGCTAATTCTTTTTGTTTTAGGTAGAGATGAGGTCTTGCTATGTTGCCCAGGCTGGTTTTGATCTCCTGGCCTCAAGGGATCCTTCTACTTGGCCTCCCAAAGTGCTGGGATTAGAGGCATGAGCACTGTGCTTGGCCTAATTTCATTTTTAACAAAGTTTCAGTTTTCTAACTTAGAAATAAATCTACCCCCACAGCTAAAAATCTTTCTAAATTTATATTACAGTCATTACCTTATTATCATCAAGGCAAGCAAAAACCAGTTATGTGGGTTAAACTACTATTTCTAGCTGCATTCTTGTGTAGGAGAAAAATCTATTACTTTGGTTTAAAAACTTAGAAAGTAAGAGTGCTGATTATGAGAACCAATGAAACAAGTATGTTTACATATGTTTTAATAATCTGTAGAAGATACTTATTTGCCCATCTAAACACTTTAAGGCATAAGTTCAATTTCTACCTTTCTTGGCATTCCATAGTTTCTGTAATTCATTCATAATGTAGTTTAAAAGTATCAAGCAACAGATCTTCAGTAGTGCCTTCCAATCTTAGGCTGCCTTGCTTAAAACTAAGGTAAAAGGGCCCATTTAACTTTCATTTAACAATTCTTAAAACCCACCTTATTTAGTAATATTTCTTGATTATATCTATCAATAAAAGTAAAAGATTAATATGTTTATCAAGCATTTTGTTGGAATTTTACAACACCTGTTTATGCACGCAGGTCTTAGGCATAACTTACTAAAGTGTGGAACATTGTAATATACACCTATTTAAAAATTTGGACACAACTCATATTCATGCATAATCTCAATTACTTCTGGGAGTATTTGCTCTTTGTATCACATCTTTGAGATACTCACAGGAAAAATTTCCTAAAGTCCTTCATGTTTAACTTGTTGATTCAGATTCTTTGAGATTTAAATCAAAAAGTATTGTTTGTACAAAATTTACTAGGTTTGTTAAAATTTAGAATGCAACTTTTATCTTTGTTTCAGTATGACAGGTGTAGCTATAATAGAATATAGCTACAATTTCTGTTATTTAGAACTCAAATAGAACTACTCTTGTTTGAAAAGTTTTCCCTTTACTAATTTTTAAAATGTACTATCATTAAAGTTAGGTATGTACAGATACTAAAATGGGTCAATATTCCTCATCACTGATAAGATAAAAATCTTAAGTAGAAATAGAACATTATGACAACTAAAAAATATTTCCAAGCAAAGATTACACTGACTGGTATTTTGTATATATCGTTAACAAAATCTCTAAATAATGGTAAGAGAAACTAGAAAAACCTTAGAATTCTGATATGTATCTGGATAGATGGTAAACTCATTTTGAAACAAAATCCTTTCTTTACAACAAAGCATACTCAGTTACTTAGAGGCACAGAGAGTTCTAAGGGGAACAATTTCAGTTCTCAAGGTTTTGGAGAAGCAGATAAAGAAAAAAAAAAGCCGAGCATTGAAGCTAACACAGAGACTGACTAGAACAAGGAAAAAGTGATATAAGCAGGAATATGGGAGCATTAGGAGAGAAACTACCAAGACTGGGTCAGATTTTACTAGTGTCTCCATATCAAACTAAGGAATATCCTGGGCACATACTAAAAAAGAATGAGAGATAATATAAAGTTGGAGTAAGAAGAATGCTTGATGGCCAATGTGAAAATTCTGTTTGGAATTAAGATGAAAAAAATTTAATTATATGTTACAAATTAAATTACATGTTTTCATCTATCAAAGGAAAAGTTAGTCTTATCAATACCATATTATAATTGACTTAGCATATTATTTTCTGTCTCTACTCTGGAGAGAGGTAAAAGGCTCCATATTCTAATTCAAATAAAATAATATAGCCAATAAAGCCAATGTTGATTTTTTCTTTGAATTTTTAATTAAAATATGAATAGTTATAATTTGATAAGTTTTGTCAATCTATTAAAATGTGGAGTTTCTGTAAACTGAAAATGAAAATTCAGTTGAATCCAACCTGTCTACATTTCCATGAAAGACATACTAAACATCAAAATCAGGCTCTTAATCACCCTTGGCCAAAAATATTTGCCCTCTCTAATATTTTGCGAGTAAACAGATATGTCACTACTTTGCTTTTGGCCAGATTACAAAAGTAAGGCTGACATACAAGATATTAAATAAAATACATTCAGACTGGTTTTAAATTGCTCTCTCTCTGTAAACATAAGAGAAGGTCCTTTTTCAAGGCCTCACTGAATTTTCAATTACAGTTTGACTTGTAAAAGCCAAAGTATGTGAAAATATGTTATATATTTATATGATAAATAGCAAATATAGTTAAGAAATCAAGTTATAATAATTTTTTAAAGTATGAGTTCCTAAAAAAGGATAAAGTCCTGAATTCTCACTTCTTGCTTCATGATGTGAACTGGAGAATATAATTTCTTAGATTCAGTCTTTAAAAAAATGAACCTAGGCAACTTGGCGAGACCTCATCTCTACAATAAAATCAAAAACTAGCCAGGCGTGGTAGCGCGCGCCCGTAGTTCCGGCTACTTGGAAGGCTGAGGCGGAAGGATCGCTGGAGCCCAGCAGGTCGAGGCTGCGGTGGCTGGGAGCGGCCACTGCCCTCCAGTCAGGGCGACAGAGTGAGACTCCAACTCAAAAATAAATAAATAAATAAATAAATAAACAAACCTAGGTATAAACAGGAAAGGTACTATGAATTCCTTTTGAAGAACGGACTACATTAAACATTGACTTTTTTCAAAATGATTGTGGTATAATTACCTCAGTACTAATATCATGATATTGAGTTGAAGCTGCCCCACATCTGAACCTGAGTTTTGCCACCAGCTGCTCGAAGTCTTTAACTTCACTGAAGCGATAGGCTGTTTTTCCTTTGATGCTAATGATGACAGATTTGCTGGAATCATTTGTCGTATCTATAGCTAAGACCTGGGGAGTAAAAACATATATAAACAAATCACATTTTCCCTTATTGTAGATACCTTCCATGGTATTACTTTTTAAGAAATAGATTTTGGGTACCACTTGCACCAATGATATAAGTAACCCCAGTGCAAATCATTTCACTTTTCAAGGAAAAAGTTTAACTAACATGTAGTCTTTAAAAATGACAATATAAATGTAAAACTTCAGTACTAAATACTGACAATTTATTTCTGACATACACAAAACTATCATTTATTTTCTGACCAACTACATCAAATGGGATAGTCTAAGTCTGGGTATTCATGTCATAAATGTCTGAATGATCAACCTCCATTTTGCATCAACATAAACCCTTACCTTATCTTGTTTCTAAATTTTAAATTTTTAAAAATTTTCACTTTCAGTAAGAGTTGTAAGGCTCTTACTAAAAGGAACTGAGAATACGTCAGAAGCTTTTTACTCTTATCCTAAAGAATAATTCTGAACTTAAAAAATGATGACTGGGGGGGAGGATTTTTTAAAATTTTATTTTAAAGATGTGAGGTAAAATTCAGGGTTAGGTACATAAGTGGTCATCATACAGGTAAAGTTTGGGCCTCCGCTTGGGCCCTACTTCACCTGGTTTGAGATTGGGTACCCTTATTGATGTGTTCCTCCCCTCCCCTGGCAGTGTCCCACTACTGCCAATCCCTTTCCTGGATAGATTTAGAGTCTATAATATTCAGTGATCTATCACAGAAACAAAGATCTGAGTCCTACATGTACTCATTCATAAGTGGACCCTGAACATTTATAAAAATGATTATTTAAAATTACTAAAAGGATATTGCATATTGAGTTTTTAATAATTTACAGAATTAAAGAATATTTTGCTCTGTAAATGATAATATTTTCAAACTAAAAATTAATATGTAATTAAATTTACAATACCTCTCGTAATGGAATGATCACACTACATAGACTGCCATCTTGGCTAGCAAAGCAGATATAGTTTTCTGAGATGCACATTTTCCCATGAGCATTGAAGTGGCTGAATGGTACCCACAAGTAACATTCATGTACTTCTTTCAAAGTCTCTTCTTTGGGTAGCCTAAAAAAGGCATTAAATTGCTCGCTGTGGGCTCGATTTTCCAGACCTCTGTAGAAAAGGAAAAAAAAATGAGGCCCAAGTAATGAATTCTAAAGTATATACATGCCAATATTGATTAATCTAAATATATGGCAAAGCAGAAAGATTAAATGCTAAAAATGCTATGTTCTTCAACAAATTCTGTAGTAGAAAATTCTGATGCTTAACAAACTCATTTTGTTTGTTCTTTTTTTTCCAATTTTTTTTATTAGTAGACAAAAATTCACAAAAGTTAGAGATGATGTAGGTCTTCAAACCACATGTTAAGGGATGATTTGCTAGAAAACTTATTATATTATCATATTCATAATATATGACTATGGCTAAAACTAATCCTGCAGATAATAATTTGCATATCTGGCTGCCAGAAAATCAAGAGCGTTTTCTAGTTCAAGCAAAATAAAATAATGAAAATTTATGACATCAAAATTTAGAGAGAAAGAGTAGTCCATAAAAGAGAATATTAACAGTGAAGTAAAAATTTAAATAAATGTTTTTAAAAATCCAAAGTAGAGGCATGATAAAACAACACTGCTTACACAATACTGGACACAGGAGAGGCGTTGATAAATACAGATGACTTGTTAACTGATACACAAATATATAAATAAAAAACAATTGTTTTAAATAGCATAGTTTTTCTAGGGGTGCTAAGCAGCAGTGCCATCTGGGATAGTGAGTAAATTATGCAAGTTCTAACTCAAATCCAACAAAGTTAAAACTAAATTCATTCCTCCTGCATATAACTAAATTCATTCCTCCTGCACTTGAATATGTGGTTTTTCATGTCTTTCAAAATAATTCTGATAAATATGAACAGAAAACCACAACCATGTTAATTTTTACCTTACTTAAATTGTAATTTGGTGAGTTATTTCACTATTATTTTTTAAAATGAGGTCCATTTATTTAAATAGAAAGATGTTCATGATATAAGGGGGAAAAAGCAGTTTGTAGAATAGTATGTGATGTTCAGACCCATTCATGTTTTTTGCAAATATCTTCTTAATCATGCATTAAAAAGCCTGGAAAGATAAACACTAAACTATCATCATTATGCTTCTATATTGCTTAAATTATAGAAGTAATACATATTTGTAAAAACAATAAGCAGAAGCAATAGATTCCATTTTAGAAAAAAGTCATTTGGAGACTAATTTCCAAAAAGTTATTGTTCTTAATAACTTACTAGAAGAAAAGAATTAGATGTATATGATTTTTAGTAGGCTCTCTTAAAAATGCATACAGGCAAAAATGGATTTACTATATCTCATTTAAATATGGACTTAGTAGTGAATAACTTTCAATGGATGACCTTTTCAACTATATTTTAAGGGAAATAAAGTGGTGAAAAAGTTTATGTTTATGGCGCCCAATCAAGGAATAAACTACAAAAACAAGTACCCAAGTATAATATAATACAAACGAGACTCTTAATTCCTATAGAGTTCTATTTATAAATAATGCACACTGAGACCTAAATTTGTAATAAAGTATAAAAAATCCACCCCACTGATCTAATTTCCAGAAAAGCGGGCAGGCTCACAAATAAATCCTTATATATATGGACTTTAGAAATGGTTTAGGAATAGGTAAGAGGAACAACTGTACCTAATTAGGATCATGTAGTAATCACACAACCTTCCGGGTCAACTGTTCTGGTCTATCCATAGGAATTCGGCTTTAGTTCTTCTTACACTTTCCCATACAGTCTATATCCTCATCCTCTTTGCCAGAAGCTGCTTTCCCTAGCTTTTCTGGATTTCCCCCACCCCTTTGGCATACTCATTTCCATCAACTGTTCTAAGCATTCAGCAGGATGAAAGAGCTCTGGTCAGTTTCAGAAAAAGTAAATATAGAGGTAAACAGCTATTCGACAATACTTCTGAAGTAGGTACTAATAATGATTAACAATTACCTAGTGTTTTATATTTTACAAAGTGTTTCCACATGTTTCACTCATTCCTCATTAGTGTCCTCTGAAGTAGAAATGACAGATGAAAAAACTGAGGTCCTGAGAGATTATGACTTGTTTAAGGGTTTGCTCTACTTTAATCCTAAAACCCATACTCCCCTGACTCCACTAACTTGCTTCTTAATAAAACAATACTGTCTATAAATTATTTTTAAAAATAAAAAATTATTTAACCATTTCAGATCTGAAAATACCTAAACTATTCATAGAGAAATTTAGAGTTATACTAACCACACACATACAAATCTCTATCTCTATTATAGACACAAATCTCTATAATTCTAAAGGCACTCCAGGGCAAGTCCTGTCTGAATCTCAAACAATTTTCACATCTAACTTCTATTATTTTTTAGAATTAAATTTCATGGAGAGGAGGATACTATTTATGTAATGCATATGAATAAGCTCACAAACAAACAAACAAACACACACATCCATGGTCAACACCAAAGAAAAACTATCATATCATATATAGAAGAGTTAACTTTTAATGCTAATCAATACTATCATTCTTATGTTCATATAATACTTTGAGAAGGAAATATTAAGTTCAGAATACCTTTTGGTGATTTGTAGAGGATCATCAAGGATTGGGTCATTATCAAATGTTTCCTTATCAAAAAGTCTCTTTATGGCATAGTTTGCCAGTTGTTCCATAAGAAGGTATGTTTGGTTAATATGCAAAAACATTGAAAAGTAGTGACTCTCCCCTTGGGAACACACATGAATACTCTCTGTCAGTATGACATTTGAAGTCTTCTCAAGTTTTGAGACTGCATCCCAGGAGATAATCAGTTTTACTGCAAATGAGAGTTATAAGCACGTTTGACTAAATTCTCAGTACTGATTTATGTTCATTAATCAGGCCTTTTGAGACAATAGTTAACCCCTTGAAAAATGCTATGAACTGCTAAAATATGTTGGAGTTCAAGATTAGCTAAAATTTTGAAGCATCACCACAAACATAGTTGGTGATTCTAGGAGCAAATATAATTTTAAAGAATTAAAAACAATTCTGATTTGATATTTAAATCTATTTCTTGATATAATTACGTAATTATATAACTACTGATATAAAAGCTATTTATATGCATGCTATAAATAATACTGTTTGATTTTTCTTTGTGGCTACAAAATGAGATGTGGACAATTAGAAACTATGGCTTCTATATTTATAATATATGTTTAAGGCACAGACTGAAGCAAATAGGTAGTTTATACAACAAGAGATAAAAAGCAGTTAGGTGCCAGATTATCATAATTTAATATTTATTCACTTCCCATAATATGCAAGGCATTCTATACATACGTCTAATGGATCCTATATTAAACAATCAGTCTTAAAGGGATGCTTTCTCTAGATGAAAGGAGCTTTTTAATGCAGTTGGATTATCTTTAATATCAATCTCATTACTTTATTTACAACCTAACACCATCATCATTGACAGGTCAGATAGCAAGTTCAAGGTCATGGTAAGCAACAGAAACCACTTACTTTCTGATCCCAATAAAAAAGAATAGAAGCTCAGAAAGTTGGTGCTAAGATAAAGCCAACCCTGACAAGGAACCCGTCCTTTCCAATAACTGCATGAATAATAGGTCACTAACTTCTCCTGCTCTGGCAAACCAAAACATTTTTCAAATTTCAAAAGGGTTTCTCGAAATTTCTCAGGATCATCTTCTTTTGCAAAAGATTGTTTTCCTTCTTCAGCAATTAATCCCTAAAGAAGAGAAAATATTTTTTTTGAAAATTCTTCATCACCTACCAATAAAAATGTATTTTATACATTCAAACAGTTGATTGAATACAAATGTACAGTCAGTTCTCTGTATATGTGGGTTCTACATCCATGGATTCAACCAATCAAGGATTGAAAATATTTGGGAAAAAAATTCCACAAAGTTCCAAAAAGCAAAACTTGAATTTGCTGTGTCTTGAGTATTATATTGAATCCATACAAATGAAGTGATGTGTAGACACTGTATTAGGTATAAATACTTTAGTGATGATTTAAAGTGTATAGGTGGATGTATATAGGTCATATGCAAATACTATGCCACAGCATATTAAGGACTTAAACAGCCATGAATTTTGGTAACTGCAGGTGGTGCTGGAACCAATGCTCCATGGATACCTAGGGATGACTGTATATACCTATACAGGTACATATATCATATGCATATATGTGTACATGTACAATGCATACTTCTCTTAGGACAGAAGTGAGCAAATTTTCTTCAACTTTGTGTTTAGGTTTTTTTCTAATGCCTCACAGGAAGCATTGCTAAAGGAACAAAGGGTTTACTTAAACTCAAAACTCAAGAGATATTTAAATGAAAATGTCCCTAAGAGCACTTGAAGGGAACCTAAGACAAACCACTGCCTTTACAGTCTTATTTAGCACTGATACTGACACTGTGTGTTTCTACCTATCCTGAAAGGTGCCAATGAAACAATGACCTTTCATGCAACCTTTGATACTTATAGAAGAGGGTCAAAGATTTTGGTACTTCATCTACAAAATATATCCATACAACTTACTCTTATCTTTCCTTGTACAAAATTAGTAATATCTTCATTTGAATCAAATACAGATAAGGTCTTCATAATATTTTGTTCCAACCAGTCCCAATGTTTGGTTATTTCTTCTCTGTTGGCTCCTGATTAATGACATAAGACAATAAAACACTCAAGAAAAACACAACAAATCTGCTCTTGATATTTACAAGTTTAGTTTAAAAAAGAAATTTTGCACACTTTTTCGAATGATGGTTGGAAAAGAGAAAAGTTATTACATATATTCTCTACTCCATCCCTATATGTGGACATAAACAGTATTTCTCATTATCAGTAAAAAGAATAAACTATTTAATGAAGGGGAAAAAGTAAAACCAGCTCAGGAGAAAAGATATAAAATTCTGAAAACAAGATGCCAGTAAGTGATGCCTAAGGAATAACCAGCAGTGTCTTTTAAAATAATATGTAGAGTACCAGAAAACACATATAAGAGGGGGAACCCCCCAAAACCCTAGAACTTACTTATAAAAAAATGTGTATTTATTCTCACATGTTTAAACTTCAGATACCTTCAAAGTACTCTCCATTTGATATAATACACCTGTCAAGATGCTTTTTTCACTGTTACAAACAGTTTTGAAACTTGTCAATTTGGATGCCTTTTGGTGCTTCTGCCATTTTTTGTTTTGCCTCTTCCACATGGGCAAAACATTTCCCCTTGAGGACTTTTTTCATTCAAGAAACAAAAAAAAGTTGCTCAGAGTTAGTTCAGGTAAATACGGAGGGTGGGGCACAGGGGTCATGTTTTTGGTCAGAAACTGCTGAACAATCAGTGTGGTGTGGGCAGGTGTGTTGTCATGGTGGAAGAACCAGTCACCTGTTTGCCACAACTTGGGACATTTCTTCCACAAATAATGACACAACCTTCTTCAAACTTCCAGATAAAAATTGGTTGACCACTTGATCCAGAGAAACAAACTCCAAGTGTGCTACAAGGGGCTCACTTTCCAGAAAATAACCCCTTTTTGGGGGGGGTATCCCCTCCTACATAATTAAATCCTTGGTGTTCAAATAATGCAGTTAGCACTGTGTCTATATTCTGTGTAGAAGAAAACAGTATGCATGTGACAATCCTACGCATGCTGTATAAATGTGGATTTCAAATATGGCCACTCTACTTATTTCAGAAGCTATGATACCTTTGCTCAGAGTCACCCCATTCATGAAAAAACCTAGTAAACTTACAGAATTTTCATAAAAGAGACTAGAAATTCTGTAGCAAGGTTAAATCCATGGGACCTGCTGAATCAGTGTTAGGTGGCTTGTTGATGGTCAGATTAAATACTATTAGCACTAGGTTGCTTTGACTTGAAGAATATTTCTATATTTCAATATCTATCAATCTCCCCCATCACTTACATATCCTTAAGATTTTCGCACCACCATGGATTATGTAAATCTCATTCAAAAGAACTATGGTGACGTGTTAGTATGTTTAATGATATATAAAGACTGACTTACTAAAAAAATTGACATTGAAAACTGTCTACTTCCTACAATTCAGTTAGAATTTTATTCATGTCACTATACCAAGAATAATAACGTTCTTTAATAAACCACAAATAAAAGCCATGGGAAAATGTTAAGGCCTTTATTTTGCTTCTTTAGGTATAAGGAAGCTTCATTACTATATATCTCCATCAGGTTAATTTGGGGGAGTAAGGAAAATAATCATCCTTTTTTTTTTTTAAAGTAAAAATGACTTTTTGAGACAGTGTCTCATTCTGTTGCTCAGGCTGGAATACAGTGGCACAATCATAGCTCATTGCAGCCTCAATCTCCTGGGCTAAGGGATCCTCCAGCCACAGTCTCGCAAGCATCTGGGACTACAGATGCACACCTCCACACCTGGCTAATTTTTATTGTTACTTTTTTTATTTTAGAAACGGGGTCTCACTATGTCACTGAGGCTTATTTTGAACTATTGGCCTCAAACAATTTTTCTGCCTAGGCCTCCCAAAGTGCTGGGATTATGGGTGTGAGTCACTGTACCCAGTCAGAGTTTTTTGTTTGTTTTGAGTCGGAATCTCACTCTCACCCATGCTGGAGTGTGGGGCACAATCAGGGTTCACTACAGACTCAACCTCCCCAACTCAGGTGATTCTTCCACCTCAGCCTTCTGAGTAGCTGGGACTACAGGTGAGTGTCACCATGCCTGGCTAATTTTTCAATTTTTGTAGAGACCAGGTCTCGCTATGTTGCTAGGCTCGTCTTGAAGCTGGGCTCAAGCGATTCTACTGCCTTGGTCTCCTAAAGGGCTGGAATTACAAAAATGAACCACTGCACCTGGCTTTTTTTTTCTAAACAATTTCTACCAATCAGATTTAGAGTTGAGGTCACAGAATTCTTATCATGTCAGCAGGAGTAATGTCACCTTCATTTAGTTTAAATGCCATTCAATTTAAGAGTGCCAAGAGAGAAGATTCACAGGCAACAACTGGAAATATAGAGGGAAATATGAAAAAAAACCTACACATCCTAAAAAATTAATCATATGCTAGATGCTCACCTGTATAAATTGCCCAGAAATTCATGTGCTTTTTTGATCTTTTTAAAAGTACATCTACTTTAGAAGAGAGGGGGAAAAGAAAGGAAGAGAAAATGACAGTTTTCCCACATTAAAAAGGCCAGAAATCTGGGATTCTAATTTAGACCAACATTATAACAGCATCACAAAAGAAGTAACAAACTGCTAACATGGGCTTTTAAAAATGTATTTATTAGGAATAATTATCTTAATTCCTTTCCTACCCACAATATATATGTGGAAGCATCTAAATCACTTTGGCATGAGTGAATATGTGGCATAACCTCTAAGACATCCCTTCATCTTTCAAGAATATGATAACTTTTGTGAGAAAGTAGATACATGAATAAAAAAGGTTTAATTTTTCAGGTTTCTACTTCCTTAGGGGACAATCTTTAAGTTTTGGGATCATAGATAACTTCAGATTCTCTTCTGGGTTATTAGAAATGAAACAACATCTTCCCAGCAGTTGGGTGAAGCAGAAGTTGAAGAAAGGAGTCATGTAGTAGTAGCACTGACCAAAATCTGATCAGAATCAGCACTGCTGGACCACATGCTTCACATCCTTCACACCAACTATCTTTTAAAACGTTAATAACATGTATCTTTCTTAAATAATGAGATGTCTTACTATTCTCTCAAAATAAAGTTGCAGATTTAACTAGTTTCTAAATCTCAAAACTAAGGATTATAAATAAAAAATTCAGTTTCACAGTAATCTTACTTAATTTGAATTATATGTTTTAAAAATAATACTTACCACATGCAATTGACAGGTAAACTTGAGAATCTGGTGTCTGGTGTAGGATGCGAAATGGAGCTACTTTAGCAGTAGAGTCCAAGACTGAATCAAGGGTCCCAACCAGAAGCCCTGTTGTAATAGAAAGATTGCTGAAATAAGGACTTTATAGAGATCAATAAAATGAGTATCACTTCATATGATAAATTAATAAATTTATTTAACAATTTTTCTAGCCCAGAGAGTCCTCATAAATATTGTTCTTAAAGAAAAAATATATTTGGAATGAAGAGATTAGTGTATTCCAATGTGAGTAGTGTTTGAGAAAACGATCTTTCAATAAAATAGTTAAGTCAGCTTCAATTGCCCAAATCTCATAATATATCTGCAGCACTTATATAGCTCCTTCATAAGGCTGTATGTGCAGTAGATAAAAATATAGAATCTGGTACCAGAGACTAATTGGGTTTGAAGTCCTGGTTATGTCACTTACTTGTGTCAACTTGAGTAAGTTAAAGTTCTTACTCTTTCTGCATTCTCATTTGTAAAATAAGGAGGTTAAAACAGAATCTACCACAAAGGGCTGTTGTAAAGATTAAAAGGCACTTACAATAATGTTTAGCATGTAGTAAAATGTCTAATATTAGCTAATACTATTATTATTTAAGAAAATCTTAGATATTTAAATAAGATAAAACCCCAATTATTTGAAATGCTTCTATAAAGGGATTTTCTTTTTAACCAATTCTTAATTCCTCAATCTGGAATTCAAGGCTCTTTCATCAGTTAGTTTCAGTTTAATTATCTAATTATATTTCCTACTACTTCCTAGAACAATGTTCACTTTTCTTAAACAACCATCTAAGGTCTCCCATAGGATCTTTGCTAAGCAATTATATTTTTACCTAGAAATGCTAATGAAAGTCTTCTAGCCCAGTCCAGCTATTCTAAATTCTACATGTTCTTCAAGACACACTTGCCCCATGAAATCCTCGCTGGCAACCCCAAGCAATAATGCTCTCGCTTCCTCTAAATACTTATAGCACTTAAAGTCTATACAAGTTAATAAACCTTATCCAAAATGCTTGGGGCCAGAAGTGTTTTGATTTCAGATATTTTCGGATTTTGGATTAATTGCATATGCATAATGAGATATCTTGGGAATGGGACCCAAGTCAAAACACGAAATTCATTTGTCTCACATATACCTTATACATGTAGTTTGAAGGTAATTTCATACAATATTTTAATAATTTTGTGTATGAAACAAGTTTTTGACATTTTGACTGCGACCTGTTATGTGAGGTCAGGGATTGGAATTTTCCACTTATGGTATCATGTCAACACTCAGTAAGTTTAGAATTTTGGAACATTTAGCATTTTTTATTTCCAGATTAGGGATGCTCAACCTGTGCTATATAACCTAGCATTTGATTATTAGGCTGGTTATTACAACTACTTTCTAAGTGCTTTATTTATATAATTTTTTTGTCTCTTTATCTAGATTATTAGTTATCTGAGGACAATAACCATGTCTTCTACCTCTGGGTTTGTATCCTTAACTTTCAACATATCGCTGGGCACAATGACGGTAGAGTTTGTTGACTTAACTGTATCAATGGGATGGCTGAAACATATAAACCTAGCTTCCTTTTCTGGAAGTTCTATTGGTTAGTTGAGTGTTGGTTTTGCTTTATGAGGCATTGCCCTTTAGTTTAGCATACACATTTTTGAGAAAATTAAATTAATTATAAATCAGACTTTTAGCCCTTTTCCTATATTTATCCACTTAAAGAATTAAGATTTAAAAGCAAGCTTTGAATAAGAATACAAGTAGAAGGGAAGATGTGAGATTAGGAAGTTATTATAAGCACAGAGGGAGGTAAATTACAAGAGTAGAAGACAGAACAAAGAGATAAAGAGAAATTTGGCTCAGTTGAAAGAGTGGGAGTATACGTAGGAATAGATAAAACGTAAAAATGGGTCACAAATGCAGCATAATTAGCAACCTGACAGAGGATTTTGATAGTGGGGGCAAAGAAAATATCAAGAAAGAAGATTCTGGCAATGGCAAATGTGCAGATTATAGAGGTAAGAAATTATCTGATATGAAAAAATATTAGGGTATGGATTGATGATTGTTAAGAAATAGAAATGAGAAAACCCAGACAAATGTTATGAAAGAGGAGGTACTAGGGAAGAGAGAATGGGACTGAAGAGGAGGAATAGAGGAAATAATTATACTTCAACTAATAATGAGAGAATTACTGGTAGCTTTGGGGATAAAAGGAAAAACAATTATATCACTTTCAGCATTGAAAAGGTGGCTGTGAGAAATTGAAGATTTGGTGAAGGATAAAGAAAGAAAAGTAGGAGTTAAACATATGCAGATAGTATCATCAGAGCAATGTGATTAAAATTACTCAGCAGAAGTGTTAGAGCAAATGAGGTCAGGAAGATGGCAACCGAGACAGTAGGACTATGTGAGTCCTGGTGTGAGTGAGTGAGTGTATGGAAAATTTTGTGTAGGTGCTGGTGAGCAAGTAGCCACATGAGTGGCTGACTGAGTGAGAGCTAGGGAGCTAGCGGCCAGGGCTCTCCTGGTGCAGCAGCTGGTGCCATAGCTGCTGGGCTTGGACCATAGTGATTCCAGGGATGCAGAAGCTGAGTGCCATTTTCTTTCTTTTGTTTTTTTTAATTAACAAAACCCTTCCTGGGAAGAAAATGCTGGGAGACTGTTTAACTGGGGGCTCGTGAGGAAGTGGCCAGGCCCCTGGTGGAACAACTGGTGCTACAGCTTCTCTGCTTGGTCCCTGGCCCTTCCCAAGTCACAGAGGCTGAGTACCATGTTTTTTTAAAATGGACAAGTTTTCCTGTGAAAAAGTAGTGGGGAGAGACCACCGCCCCAAGGCTCTGCCTCACTATTGTAGCAGGTGAGACTACCAGCTCCAGGCTTTGACTCACTACTTCAGGGCCTGGCAGGGCACTGGCAGCAGGGGCTGCATAGAGGGTTCAGAGGCAAAATCCTGCAGAAGAGGACAAGAGAGGCACCCCACCACCATCTTGAAGGTGGGGCAGGAAAGTGCTCTGACTTGCTCACCACAGAGCAACAGACCCAATCTCTGTGACTAGAGGATCAACTACTCAGGGACTGATCATGACCCAGAGGGAATATCCTGAAGAACAAACTTCAGAGGTACCTGACAAGTGCTGAGTTCCAGGTACCCCACCCCCTACCCTGATCCAGCTGTGGGACAAATGGTGTGGACAGCAAAGGACGAGGAAGGACTCCAAAGAGATCAGTGGTGAGTCCGGAGCTGACCAAAACCATCTCCTCCCCAGTAATCCTCTGAACGTCACGCCCACATAGCTGGTCCATGACTGAGAAGGACAAACCCAGTCGCAGTCTGGATATCAGTTGTATTAGGAGAACTCCATTCCAGGATATCCCTGGCTGGGGCACTCCTGCAAGTACATACCTGGCAGAGAGACAATCCCTTTTCTTTGTAATTTTCAGTTTATGTGTGCATGTGAATGAGTTTTCATCTTTCTTTTTTTTTATAATCAATATTTTTTATTATGATATTGTGGGGTACAGTTAAGGGTTAGGTATACAAGTATGTTTCATTTAGGCACCCTTGTTGATAAGAGGTGTTTCCCCGTCCCCAGACATTTACTACCATTAATCCCCTCTCCTTCCCCCATAGTTTCCCACTACTGTCAGTCATTTTCTTATAGTATTACATTGGATGTTCAAGGTCCACTATATGAGTGAGAACATGTGATACTCGGATCTTTATTTCTGTGAGAGGTCACTCAGCATTATAGACTCTAGTTCCATCCAGGTTGCTGCGAAATTCATGATTTTGTTCTTTTTTATGACTGCGTAGTATTCCATCGTGTATATGTACCACAATTTTTTAATCCAGTCCTCTTTTTGATGGGCAGCATGGTTGCTTCCAGGTTCTTGCTATTGTGAACAATGCTGCGATAAACATACGTGTGCAGGTATCTTTTTCATAGAGTGATTTGAGTTCTTCAGTATATATTCCCAGTAGAGGGATTGTCGGGATCATATGGGAGGTTGATATTTAGAGTTTTTAGGAATCGCCAAACTGCTTTCCACAGAGGTTGCACTAGTTTACACTCCCACCAACAGTGTAGAAGTGTTCCCTTTTCGCCACACCCTCTCCAGCAGCTGTTATTTTTTGAGTTGTTGATAACTGCCATTCTGACTGGAGTTAGGTGGTATCTCAGTGTGGTTTTGA